TGTTCACTTGTGGTTAATATGGTGTAGTTTGGCGTCGCCTGTACAAGAGGCGACGCGACGCTTAGCATCTGTTTTCCATGTGTTCGATGGCATCTCGGGTCCTTCTGTGCCGAATATGGTCGTCTTGAGTCTGTTTGCAACAAAGATCCGTGTCGCGATTCACTTGTTTTCCTTTCAGCTTGGTGTCAGATGTCATCCGTAAGTTCACGTAAGCTATGTTTGGCGTGTTTTGCGACATTGCGACGCTTAGCGTCGGTTTTCTGGCGCCGTGTCTTGTGGCTTCCCGCTCTGATCTTCGCTGCCGATGCCTTGCTAGTGTCGTGTTTTTGTTCCTTTATCGTCATGAATCTTGAGTCGGCTTCAAGATGCCAGGCGTCGTGACGCTCATCGTCGATTTGCCATCGTGTTGTCTAATCCCTTCACTAAGCTCATGTACGCTTTATGGGAGATTCTTTAATCGGCGTCCCGATGGTCGATGTTGGTTTATGTGTATCCTCTTGGCTTGTTTTGGAACTTAAGTCGGCGTCGGGACAGGAGGCGTTCCTGTTTTCATCTGCGCAGACTATGACGTCATGCGTCAGGGTCGGGCCCCTCTCGTCGTGAGTTCGTATGGGGCTTGTACGTCTTAATGACAGTCACGTATCGTTGAATATTGTAGAAGGAATTATCCCTTACTCATAATCTTCACCGAGGCTCGAACAGAGGACAGTTCGGTGTTTGTCGACTTAGATCCTGTAATCTCCTCTCCGAAACGAACAAATTTTGCCTTGGACCCCTTTGGGAATCGAACCCAGGATACTTTTTCAGAGTTCTGGACTTTATTTCAGCAATCTTTTCTTCGAAACAATTATCTCTGGTCTGCGCACTGTTCTTGAATCGTGCTTAGTTTGACCCCGATGTGATCTCTTCCTGGTCTCAAGAAATAAGCGTACGAAGTTTTGTGCTTATCGGTTCCCGAGCTCTGAGCGAACAAACACACGATTTCAGTTTCATATTCGAAGTTGCATGTGCAAGCTTCAGCTTTAAGTGGCGTGCAATTTCAGTATCAAAGCTCCTCACCTAGTCTCGTACATCCAGGCGCAGTTCGTTTTCAAAACGTAAAATGGTGTCTGGTGCTAGGGTTTGGGAACCAGCGGTGTCTTCATTTTTTCGGGCCATGTAGATGTTTTTCTCGCACAAAAATCCTCCTCTCGTGTTTAGATTAAGTGTAAATTTAAATCTCGTCCTCCGAACGGTTTTGTGAACGTTGCAGGACGCAGTGAGCTCCTCTCGGCTGTGAAATCAATAATTCAAGCTGACGGAAGACGTTGCCTGCAGAGTGAGCTCTTCAGCGTTTAAAACGCCTTCAGCCCTAGTGATTTAGAGGCATATCCCACGTAATAAAGCCTCAGCATAGCTCTTCACTCTAAATATCTTCTGCAGTTGGTACAAACTCGGTAACAATCTATACGTTAGACGCACGGTAAGATTTGTACGCGGAGGTCGAATATTACGACGTTATTGTAGGCAAGCAGATCGGAAGTTTCGACTGATTTCTGTTGATTTTGAAGACGTCGAATCGTGAATTTTCTGGAAAATTTCAGCGGAAAAATATTCGATAAGAACTTTCTCTGCAGTTGTCATAACACGGATCCATTTCTTCGGAACTGCTTCGATGGAATCTCTTTGCAGATGCAGATAATTGTTTTAACACCTTTCATGCTGCGCACGAGATATATCGGTTTAAAACAGATCCTGCAGACTATAAATTCAGTATGAAAAAAAACATGACTAAATTGTGCGTCGAACGGTATACGTTAAAGTTTCTTACGCAAATGCGATTAGATTTTTATTTACATCACATATAACGCGGTCTGACACTGTAATTAAACTTATCGTATTTTAAGAAACGCCTTACGTCTTACGAAATACGGATTTCTGATGCAAATTTTATTCATATTTGGAGCCGAAATGTAAAATATTGCTCAATATGATCTCACGCCTGCGACACGACGAGAAATATTTTTTTTGAACACTAGTTATTATATCGTGAAATAAGAAATAGTAATGAAAATTCTCAAAAAGTCCTGCACAAATACGAACCTCTGCTGTCTTACGTAAAATGATGGTCTAATGTAAATCGAATATTTCGATAAAGAACATCATTTAATATTTTAAATATTTTAAATGTTAATTATTGTAATATTTTAATATTTAATAAGAATTTATTGTGATTAGACGGACAAGATTTAAACAATATATATTTATTATATCACAATATGACGAAACTTTACCATCTCAAGGATCTTCTTATGTTACGGAGGTGTCTTTTTGAAATGCTCATTTAATATATCTTTATCTTTGTCATGATTAAAATACAGTAAAAAATATGATAATTAACTTCAAGTTTTACGTTGTAATTATTTGCATTGGTATGTTTTAACCACAGATAAGTCACACAGTTCAGTAGAAAAGGAGCTCTTGTGTTCTTTTCGACTGTTCTGAAACACGTTTTGTAAATGAGACACGAAATATAACGCACGGTCTTCAACTGTTACACTCTTCAGTGACTTGTCTCGTTATTCCATTTATCTCTTTCATTAAGAACGTCTCCAAGATGGCGCCGTCTGATGTATGGCTTGCTTTCACGAAGATATTTTTCGTTGCGAGCTCGTATATTTTCATATCATAGAAAGACAAGTGACTCCGATTATGCGCTCGTCTGGCGACTGTATTGAAACTTCGTCGTGGTCGAACACACTTGCAACAATGTCCTCGGATCACATTACTGCAACAGTGGCCTAGGGTAACATCGTTGCATTCGTTATTACATTTGGTTTTCCTGACGTTTCATTGTTACAGAAAAACACTTCGTGGGCCCATCCATTGTGGTCATTTATGTTGTACGATTTGTCGTCGATTTACTTTTATTTCTGTGAAGTCAAAGGGATTTGCCAGTTTCTTAAAATTATTTTTTTGAAGTCAAAGGGATTTGCCAGTTTCTTAGAATTAGTTTTGCGAACGTTGGCATCCTTGCACTCTATAGATGAAATGTTGCAACATCGCTTCTTTGTTATTTTCGCGATTAAGGATGGTCGCTGTTATTCTAAAACAAAATAATTGAAATGTTTCTCCGCCCCGACAAATCGTACAAGTTCTGATGGGTTTAACCCGAGTCCAGTTGATACAGTGACGTCACTATTTCAGCTCGTCATGGAGCGTCGCGACGTGTTCCTCACGGCCATCTTGTCTACGCTGGCCGCGGTCACGACGCTGGGCGTCACTCTTGTTATCTGTTACTTGTGGCACATCAGAAGGCGCAAGAGGGACGAAGAGACCGGCTGTGACGACGGAGACGCCAAGATCCGAGCGGACTCCGGAGGCAACAAGGAGGGACGTTCCAACGGGTTCCTGAGCCTCAAGACTCCTCTCATCAGCACGAAGACCCTGGGGTGAGTACTTCAGATTTGCTTTGGTGTTTGCGAAATGTTAATTTTAGGACGTATGCCACGGTCGAATTCGTTATCGTTTCCAATTCAATGATCTTCAAAAATCCCATCGTCCTTTGCTTTTTAATCAGATACGCTGGCAATTGCGTTAGATAAAACATAACTAGGTATCGACGCAGTACGATAGGTTGGCCGCAAGATGGCAGCACAGCCTGCAGATAAGTTGCAATAGTTTTACCGTAAGATGGCACGATGAGTAGCCATGTTGAACGTGGTGTGAGGTACTTCGCACGTTCCCCGTTAGATGGTGTCGTGACCCGAAGTGGTGAAACATCCGAAAATCTCCTTACAATGTCAACCGCATGATGGCAACACTGATGTGTTGTACTTCCGCCATCTTACAAACCGGTTGTTATGTAATCGATAATCAACAAAATGTAAATGTGAAATGTGTTTTGTTTGGAATCGTGTTTTTCTGTGAATTGGCATTTGAAATAATTTTACCGAAAGTCGCTGCCCGGCGGTTACCACTCCTGCTTCGTATTCGGGGGTTGGGGGGGGGGCTTGGATTTCATTGTATTCCCGGAGACCGGCTTCAGGCGTACTTTTTTATGGTGGTTTCCTATGTCTCAGGAGATAAATTTTGGGCCAGTGCCTTAAATTAAGCCACGAAATATAGAACGTCGTTTAATGTAGCACAGATAAGAAAATAAAAATGAGAAATCACTTCGGAGGCAAAACACGTGTGGCAGTAACTTTAAAAATGATACCAGGAATTTAATTTTTGATCACAGATTGGTATTCTGGAATCGATTAAGTTATTTTGCGTCGAATTGTAGGATGACCTTGAAGCCCATATGGTATCTTCTCGAATGTATCACGCATGTGGGCGTACGATGTGGAGCTTGGAGTTCGATCTGCTCAAACTTCCTCCTGCAGCCACCCAATTACTGGGCTATTTCGTTGAAGGATGAATGTCTTCATTAGAGTCACGCCTTCTCTGGAAAAGCTCGTTCAGTCCCACAGAAAAGGAACAAATTTGCAAATTACAGAGGGTCGTGGAAGTTTCTTGTAGAAAATCAGTACCGCCTTTGTCTCGGGCTCTCTAACTCTTCATTGTGACCTGTTGCGCCAACCAACTTTATTAATTGTTCGAATATGAGAGCAAAAGACGTGAGGTCGTGGCACAATGGAAAATCCGCGCAGTAATTGGTGCAGTGTAGAGAAACAACCGCACAACACACGTGTTCTTTCTTCTCTTTTCTTACATTTTCATCGGATTTCAAGCCTCATCCGAGCTGTCCCTCCCTCGAATATCCCACATTTTCATCGGATTTCAAGCCTCATCCGCGCTGTCCCTCCCTCGAATATCCCACGGATAAGGTGGCCGGAGCTCGGAGCTGACGACACGTCTCCATCCACTTCCGCGGTTATGAGTGTTTCGCCATCTATTCCTCATGCCTTCTCTGGAATGGTGTTCGTGATAACGCTCAGTTTCCCTATTTTTTTTTTTTTGGGGGGGGGATAGTATTATCAACAGCTCAGGTCTGTTGTAATTGAAGTATCGAATTGCAGAATCTGATTTCTGCAGGATTTGTGGTCATTCTCACACTTATTGCAGAAGACCTTGAAATTAGCGACAACCACTGTTATTTGAAGATAAATTATTTCATTTTTCACTTATTAAAACGTTGCTGCTCTTAACTGATGACAAATAATAAATATCGCTTCTCTGATAAGTTATAAAAATTCGAAATCTATTTAAATATTTTGAGATTTCAGGTTTTCGCGGTGGTGTATCTTCTGTAATAATACGCCGAATAAACTGGTAGACGTTGGCTGACATTTCAAAAGTGCCATGATTAACGAAGCAAGAAGCACTTCTGAAACGTCCGTCATCTTCTACGAGACTTTTGCAGTTCAATTATCCAGAAGACTGTTGAATACTCAGCTTCACTTTAATATTGTTATAGGAACGTGAGAAAATCTTGCAGCTTCCAGTTCGTGTCATTGTCTTTTAGATATTAATCTGTCGAAGTGTGGAGCACCGTAGATTTGACTAGTCACTAGTCGTAGATACTTCTGTGACTGATTCTCTCAGCGGTCAGGATGTGGGTTCGAGGACATGACTGCCCGATTCAGTCTCCGAAGTGTGTTTGTAATTTATTTTTGTGGGCGGGTAGCCAGCTTAGTCATGAACCAATTAGGAGGGAACGGAATTTAGGATGCAAAACATTTAGAAAATATTTATTTTTGTGTGTTGAATGTAGAAAATATTTCTACAGGAAAAAAATACCCGTGATTTTGTAGTATAGCTTCCCGGTGTGTTCCCTATAGGTACTAGACGTTTTCTCGCTTGTCACTTGTGTTTATCAAAGAACGTGTTTTGGTCGCATGCGCCAATCTTCTTCATGTTCCGTGTTCTTCGTATGCAGACACATCCAGCATAGCAAACAAACAAATTCTACTTGAAATAAATAACTTGTAAAAGGCATACACATTTTTAATGTGAACAGATGTGTAAAAAAGGCTCGTAAATTATAATGCGATATCAGTGAGCCAAGCCAGGGTGGTCTAGCGGTTAGAACGCTGGCCTTGTAATCCTGAGGTCTCGGGTTCGATTCCCGGCGGTGCCCGAATTTATAACTTGTGTTGGGCAAGGCCGTGGTCTAGGCAACACGGAGTTTTCCTCCGTGGCATCCCAACAATTACTCCATTCACACACAGAAGAAGGCAATGGCAAACCACTTCTGGATCATCTGCCAAGAACGTATATGAACAGGTCCCAGGCCGAGAAAAGGATGGAAGGATCCTGTTCATATGGACCTGTCGTCAGACAGAACACTAAATAATATAATAATAATAAAAATATCAGTGAGCCGAAGGGAAGTAACTTTATGTGACATTTCAATGCGTAATGCTCGTTGAAAGCAGAGTATGAGAGGATCGCACAATGTGCCGTCATATAAACTGCAAATAAATACATAGGTATTAACGCTGAGCAATATTTGCGAGTCTTATATGTTTGTGGTATTCGCAGTTTTCCTCTGCATTAGTGAAGCTATGTAATTTCAGATTGCAGTCTGTTCTGGGGACTGACCGGACCCATAAACGCTTTCGGCACAGCAAACAGGTTCTTGATCGATGGTGTGTTTACCTGCCCGCAGACTGTTTGCTCATGGGTGGATGAATCAAGGTACTTTCGGGGAGATTCGATAACAGCTTACCGTTAGTACACAGACAGACAGACAAGTGGTGAACATAATAAGGAGCAACTTTCCCTGTTTTCTTAGGTGACAGGTCACCCACAAGCCTATGACGTTAACTTCATCCAGGTCAGCTGCGTGACTCTTCGCTTGTCTTTCATTCAGCCTTCTACAGTTCACACGTGTATCGCTTTTCACAGTCCCGGTGGAAAATTCGAAGGCACATTTTCGACGATATGGAAGTTTCCTTTCAATTTCTCTCAGTTTCACAGAATGCGATTAAAGTCTCATATCTCTCGACGCCAGTTAACGTCCTCAGTTGACACGGCGTCGTCGTATAACGTAAGACACATGAACACATGGATATGATGATCTGAGCACATAACCAGAGTCCAGGGCAATGTGACCACTCCCCATTTTGCTGCTACCCTGATCCAGTGTCACGTGACATCGGAAGACAGTCTGATTTCAAGAACCGAAGGGTGGCTGTCTTCTCGTGTAATCTGGTAGATGGTTACCAACGTTTCAGAGGTATTTCTGCCTCCATCAGAACGATCGTGGAGGCAGAAACGTCGATAAAAATTCAACGAGACAAACGCGGGCACAACACCCCAGAAGACAAGGTCTTCAGACACGCCACCACTAGAACCTGAAATCTCACCAATCTGAGATCCTGACATCAGAATGATCACAGTTGTGTTCCAGCAGATTTTGTACTCCGTTCATCGGCGCACTCTCACTTTCCCGATCACCACACTTTCTAGGCTGTAACAGAATTCCTCCGTATTCATGTCACAAGCATGTCAATCCCTAGGGGATGACTCACTTCCTGCCCTTAAAAGTGGAACACAGTCTTTGCATAAAACATTCACAATCACAGCGGTGTTTGTTATGTGGAATGAAACCTGTTGTGGCCTACTTTATTTTCCTTTCGCAAGCAATTCTTATTACTTCGTATATTGACGTGAAGGACTTGTTGCTCACGGATCCACAAATTCCAGCTACAAAGCCCATTCCCCATTACTAGAACAATACACCCCCCACCCCACCCCCGTCCGGACGGTGTGGTATTGATCGCCCCGCCCACATGTACCTCAAAAGTCTGTTTCTCCTCGTGTACTTCCACAGAATGTATCGAAAGATACTATCGATTTTAATCGCACTTACTGGTGTGCATGTCTGATGCCTGGATCTAGTAAACATCTTCCAGTGCTAAACCACTGAGATTGGTCCAGCGATTGGATTCACACTCCGGTAAATTCTACTGATCGTAAACTGGTTCAGATTTAGTATGCACAGTTATTAAATGTATTGTGCCTACTCTCTGAAAACTGCATAATGACGAGCTTAAAAATCTGTACTCCTCCCCCAGTATTGTCAGGGTGATTAAGTCGAGAAGAATGAGATGGGCTGGGCATGTAGCGCGCATGGATGGGACAAGAGGTGTGCACCTGAGGGGAAGAGACCTCTGGGGAGACCTAGACGTAGATGGGAGGATAATCTCAGGCGGGATCTATGGGAGATAGGAGTTGAAGGAGACTGGATTTTGTTGGCCCAGGACAGGGTCCGGTGGAGGGCTTTGGTTAATTCGGTGATGAACCCTCGAGTTCACTAAGCCATCTGGTTGGTTGGGTCCACTATTTGGGAAGCCTGAAGGGAAGA